CTTTATTTTCACAACTATCAATAAAAAGAAAGATAGATAGATACATTACTTGCCAACGTACTTGGAAAGAATGTAATCTCGCGATCAAGGATAATTTGTTTGACAAATACGTGGAATACACAATTTATCTTTACTAGAATTATAGTTTGGTCCAACATGACTTGTTCTCTTGCCCGGCAAGAGATATTTTGCTTATCGATGATGTGGCACATCTTGCCACCTCATAGATCAATCTTGTTTCGGCCAAACTTTTTTAAGGAGGTCCTATTGAGAATATCTCAAATGCTAAATTCATGAATGATTGGAGATGAAAGTAGGGGGGAAATAAAATTGGAGAAAATATACGTACCAGCCGCTTTATTTGATTAATCGATTTCAATTGACGTATAAAATGACAAAATGATTAAAATCATATAGTCGACTCAAAATATAATGATAAATAAGATTTAGTTTGTTATTTTTTATTGCATCGTTTTACTTCATTTAGTTATCATCATATTTAATATTTATTATTGTTCTGCAAGGTAATCTATTCTTGGTAATCTAATCTTACACCCAAGCAAGTTGAAATACAGCCAAAACAAATGTTTTTTTAATTAATAACAAAATGAAGGAATGCTTCTTCGAAGTCTTAAACGTTATTGTCCACATGGCACGTGTTCTTTTGACTTTTGGACTTGATTCATAATAATTGAGGGTAAAGCAAGTTTTTCACATTAAATGCCATTATTGTCGATCGTGTTGCACGACGAGATAAATAGGAATTTATTTCGAACAATCTTATGTGTTATTTGGACACGAATTTAGAAGGAACCGTCATTTCTATTAGAATAATATTATTCATCCTCAATGGGGATGAAAACACAGTTTATGTGGTATTAATTGATATGTTAAATGAAATGTGAAATTAAATAATTTCACCTATAATTTAATGCCACATTAACGCTACGTAAACTGTATTTTCATTCCTAGTGGGGATGAATAACATTACTCTTTCTATTAACGTTGTAAAAGTGAAGCTTTTTGCCTCTTGTGAATGTAAAAGAAAATGAAAATTTATAATTTTTTTTTTCATTTTCTGGCAAAAAATGTAAGGATTTTGCTACTTGTACATAAAAAAATATAAATAATGGATTACATAATATGACGTGAAGGAAAAAAATTTGATAAAAAAGTTGATTGCGTTTTAAACTGACAAATAGTAGAGTACCATGTGACATTATGTAATCCGTTTTAAACTGTCGGTAGTTTGTATTTTCTTTGCGTCTCTTCATTGAAGAGGTTTCCGACCACTTTTAAAATCTAAATTATAATTTAGAATTATTTTACAGAATGATTGAAGTTTGAATATACTATAAGAGATCCAAGAACGTTGAATAATTAGTTCAAAGTGATGTCATCCAATAGAAATATCAACATTTCATTATCTTAAATAACGGATCTAAAGCAATGGATTTCTTGAATCTGCCAACAACCCTCTTTTCTAATTTCATTAGGTAGGAAAACACGCGCACGGCTTTACGGTTCTTATAGATTTAATTCATTGAAATTCCATCCAATAAATCGGAATTGAATAGTCTTCTGTGTAAATTATTATTATTATTTTTCTTTATTGCTTGCATGTACATTGAATAGTTATTGTTTGGTTGTTTTGTTAGCTGCTAATGTATGACTTGTAACATGTAGAGGATTCGCGAGGATGATGAAGCAAATGGTTTGTTTGACTTTATTTCGCGAGGATAACCCGTATAAATTTTGCGGTTTGAATATTAAACTCCGTAAATATCATGTACTCTCGAATTGCTTATGAACATTAATGTCTAGTTCATTTTAGTCCAGAAACAACCTATAAAAGTCTTTAATGAAAATCTTTAGTCATAAAAAAGGCAAAATTTGCGTAGTGATTTTGTCTACTCTCACATAAAAGATAAAAACATGCAATCTATAAAAGTCTTTAATGAAAATCTTTAGACGTAAAAGAAGGCAAAATTTGTTTAGCGATTTTGCCTAATCTCACATAAAAGATAAAAACGAGCAATTTGAAAAATCCACTACATTTCTATAAAATATAAACCGTTCCCACATTTTGCTTGTCATATGCATAATTAACCTAGGAGCTACATAAGAAAAAGTAATAAATGATGACGGTGAGAAAAATATTAAACTAACAATGTATCATGTGATGTGACTACTATATATGTATTGGATTTGGAGAGCTTGAGATCTCGACTACTAGTTGTAAACACGGTCTATACACTTAGCATTCGTCGTGAGTCATTCATACGTATCTAATATTTTTATATAGTTTTGAACAACACACAATTGGAACCAAATCAATCCTGGAAATTGGGAAGGTCATAACTTCGACATGATCAACTTATTGTAGTGTTACTTGCCCTCAGTTATACATTGTTCTTTATAACTTATAAATTCTTTCTCGACAAAATCATAAATAAAACAATGTGAACACACACACACACACACACATATATATATAAGTGAAAATAAAATGCGAGAGTTGAGGAAAAATTATAATTTTAGAACGAAGAGGACCAACTATATTATGCCCTATTTGACATGACTCTTTTTTTCATATACTCATTTTCAATCATAAATTTACACAATAAAATATTTTGCACGTAAATTCAAAAAAAATTCCTACTTTTTAATCTCAAATTTTCCAAACAATCACGATTCAAAACTCTTTTTCCTCTTTAAAAAGGCTGTCAAGCAGGGGTTATGTCTTAAATTATACTGGGATCCAGTGCACATTCATAAATTGTCATAGTTTTCTCTTCAATAATCTTATCAAGTCAACCCAATTAGAAAATGATGTCTAACAATTGTTATAAATGAGATTCATTTAACAGTTATAATCAGGGGCAGACTTTTGTGTTAGGAAATGGAGTTGTAACCTACTCTAAACTCTAAAGTTACAAAATTGTTTTTCAATAAATACATAAAAACCTTTACCCTCCCCAAATGTTCAAATTCATATTCTATAACCAAATTTTAGAACAGCTGGCAAGTGATAATAGAGAATATTCTAATTATAATGGATAAGACAGTTTGACCATTCATCTGTCCATGTAGTTTCTTTTGTATGTGATTAAAATTCAAATTTTAATTCAAGTCAAAATTAATAATTAATTTCAATCATATATATATGGGTTCTACAATTTTTCAATTACGCATTTCATTTATTTTTATCAGAATTTACTAAATATTTGATTTTAATCCCTACCAAACAGGAGTTTAAGTGTCGAGAAATAATTTCTAAAGTGTGGGTAAGGTTCAATGTTTTAAAAACTAGGCTCAATTCAAAAGATAAAGTGTCAAGGTTCAATGGTTAAATGGTCGAACTCATAACAAAATTTTGAGACGAAGACGCCCATACATGACTTGTTTTTACTCTTCTAAACCTATTGAATTTATTACATATAATCATTTTAGTTTATTCCTTGTGAAAGGTATGGACGTTTTGCGCCAAGAAACGATACGTAAGGACGTTTTGCACAAAACCCGTTAAAGGTAGGGACGTTTTACGCCAATTACCTTTGTTTTTAAATAAATAAATAAAAACCTTAACCCTACCCAAATGTTCGTATTCATATTCTATAACCAAATTTTAGAACAGGTGGCAAATGATAATAGAGAATACTCTAATTATAATGGATAAGACAGTTTGACCATTCATCCGTCCATGTAGTTTCTTTCGTACGTGGTTACCGATTAAAATTCAAATTTTAATTTAAGTCAGAATTAACAATTAATTTTAACCATATATTTATGGGTTCTACAACTTTTCAACTACGCATTTCATTTATTTTTATCAAAATTTACTAAAAATTTGATTTTAATCCCTACCAAACAGAAGTTAAGTGTCGAGTAATAATTTCTAAAGTGTGGGTAAGGTTCAATGTTTTAAAAACTAGGCTCAATTCGAAAGATAGTGTGTCAAGGATCAATGGTTAAATGGTCGAATTCATATCAAAATTTTGAGACGAAGAAGCCCATACATGACTTGTTTTTACTCTTCAAAACCTTTTGAATTTATTACATATAATCATATTAGTTTATAACCGATTCTAGATTTTCCTGTCCCATTGGCAGGTGCGATGCATTTTCGAAATTGTTCATAATATTATTATCACCAATATAAGTAAAATGACAATTTAGCCCTTCTTTGGGCTCCATTTTAATGAAAAATCAGGGGAAAACGAGTTTTGAAGTAATGATTTTTTGGAGTGTGAAGTAAAAAATTAAGAAAAAAATTTCAATTTATGTGTAATATTAATTATAGGAGAATATGTGATTGAAAACGTGTTTCGAAAAAATGAGTTTTTGAAAAAATAGGAACCAAACACAGGCTTAGGTTGGGGGCGAGTCTGCATTGGATATAGACCTCTACATTATCATGTTCTTGATTATAAATATTATACGCGAGATCTTAAGGAAAATTGTTAAAACTGAGATAAAGAAAGAAACTAAACTAATTTTCGCGATTGCTATCTTCTCTCGAATCTTTGAGTAAATGTAATAATATATAAAGCAGGATGACGAGAAGATACGTCGTTGTTTGAAATCATAAAATATAATATTAATTTGCCAAAATAATTTTAGACAGTCAGAAAAATATTCTTATAACATCTTAACATCTTAAACACGCAACAAACGAAGTATATCATTGCTCTTTCCCCCATAATTGATTGAGAAAGTCTTCAACTTATATCTTCGCTTGCTAGCTAAGTCCAAGATTATAATTGATTATGAGCTATATTCAATACAATAATTCTTTTTCAATGTTAGTTTCCAAGAAGCCCGCTTGCAAGATAAGTCCACTATGAAGTCTCTTTACATGACACGCACATACACACTCTATTTATGACTTTAAAACAGCACAACTTCGTAGCATGACAAAATTGTTAGACTGCAACTACGTACCTTAGTTAACTAGAACTCACAAGTACACAGAAAAGCTCAAGAAAAGAGTCAGAAAAATGGCATTTGCCGGTGGTGGTAGTGGTAGTGGTGGTGATTGGCCAAATATGAGGAGCTTTGCCGTGCAAATCCTCATCGGCCGGTGGTTCATGGTGTTTGCCACCATCCTCATCATGTCGGCAGCTGGTGCCACCTACATGTTTGGCCTCTACTCCACTGAAATAAAATCCTCCCTTGGCTATGACCAAACCACCCTCAACTTGCTCAGCTTCTTCAAGGACTTAGGCTCCAACGTTGGCATCCTCTCCGGCCTAATTAATGAGGTAACACCGCCGTGGGTGGTGCTATCCATCGGCGCAGTCCTTAACTTCTTCGGCTACTTCATGATATGGCTTGCAGTATCAAATAAAATTTCAAAACCCCAAGTTTGGCACATGTGTTTGTACATATGTATTGGTGCAAATTCTCAGTCTTTTGCCAACACTGGGGCCCTCGTCACTGCCGTGAAGAACTTCCCGGAGAGCCGGGGAGCGGTTTTAGGCCTTCTCAAGGGTTTTGTTGGCCTAAGTGGTGCAATCATTACTCAAATCTACCATGCAATTTATGGAAATGACTCGAAATCACTTATTTTGCTCATAGGTTGGCTGCCGGCCGCTATATCATTTGCTTTTCTTCGAACAATCAGGATCTTGAAGGTTGTTCGCATTCCACATGAACTCAAAGTTTTCTACAGATTTCTGTATATATCTTTGGGTTTAGCTGGATTTCTCATGGTGATTATCATACTCCAAAAAAAGTTCGATTTTACGAGGAGTGAATTTGGTATTTGTGCAGCAACTGTTCTTATTTTGCTGTTTCTCCCCGTTGCTGTTGTCATAAAAGAAGAAATTTATATCTGGAAGAAGAAAAAAGAAGATTTGGGTGATCTTTCAGTTTCACAGTTGAAGGTTGTGACAGAAAAACCACCAAACTCCGACTTGGCTGCTCCACCACCTCTGGCACCACCGGTTTCGCAAACACCACCAACATCCATCACCGCTGATTCCAAACAAAACCCAGAAATTTCTTGCTGGAATGCTAAGAGTATATTCCGGCCACCGGACCGAGGGGAGGACTATACAATCCTACAAGCACTCTTTAGCATAGACATGTTAGTCTTATTTTTCGCAACAATTTGTGGGGTTGGGGGAACCTTAACAGCAATAGACAATTTAGGACAGATTGGATCATCACTTGGCTATCCTACAAAAAGTATTAGCACATTCGTGTCCCTAGTAAGCATTTGGAACTACCTAGGTCGAGTAGTTTCAGGTTTCCTGTCTGAACATTTCTTGACCAAATACAAATTCCCAAGACCCCTTATGCTCACCTTAACCCTAGTAGTTTCATGCATAGGTCACTTGTTGATTGCATTTAATGTCCCAAATGGTCTCTATGTTGCATCTGTGATCATAGGATTTTGCTTTGGAGCCCAATGGCCGTTGCTTTTTGCGATAATTTCCGAGCTTTTTGGGCTCAAATACTATTCGACGCTATACAACTTTGGATCCGTGGCAAGTCCGATTGGATCATATTTGCTCAATGTTAGGGTGGCTGGACATTTGTATGATAAGGAAGCTGAGAAGCAAATGCGGGTCATGGGTCGTGTCAGGCAGCCCGGAGAGGACTTGAATTGCAATGGGGTGGAATGCTTTAGACTGTCTTTCATTATTATCACTGCAGTTACTGTTTTTGGTGCACTTGTTTCACTTCTTTTGGTGACAAGGACGAGGAAGTTTTACAAGAGTGATATCTACAAGAAATTCCGGGCCGAGGCTGAGGCAGCCGAGACAGAAGTGGTGCCATTGCCTGCAAATAGCAATGGCACTGCTCAAAGTACTAGTAATAAGGGATAGGATATAGAAGAAGAAGATTGAAGTAAAGATATAGATGTAATTCAACAAGAGAACAAATAATGTAAAAGAATTTGTAATAGTTTGTAAGTTGTAACATGAATACGTTGATAATTTGTTATGAAATTCGTGCTTTTTAATTTTTATAACATTTATCAAAGAATTTCTAAATTATTACGTGTGTTTGCATAATTGTATTTGAGCTCGTATAAAGGCGAAGGATTGGGTTATAAGTATGGCACTATAAAAAAAGGTTTGCGGAGACTGTGAAAATTAAAATATTTAGGTGAGCAACTTTTTTTGCATTGATCCAATCCAATAGCCTACTTCAGAGCCGTTATAGAACTCGATAATGAGTTTACGAAGGTTTCTGAGTGTTTTTAAATTTATTTGAAGCGAAATTTAATGATAAATGTTAAAGTGCATTTTTTTTTTTTGAAATTTTTTATTAAAATAATTTGACATTTGAGAATTTGGAATCGATTGATTCAATCGAATTGAATTGTGGAGTATATGTTGATGTGTTGCACTGAATTCAATTATCTCCTCATTTTGTGATTTGTTTTATATTTTTAAATTGAATTAAACAAAAACATGAGTACGTATTATTTTCTTCATTTTTAGTTTTTATTGAATTAAAACTATAATTAAAATTTGATGTGGTGTACTTATTGAAAATATATTTTAATTATCGTGGTAATATAATTACCCTAATAATAATAATGCAGCTACCACAGCCCGCCATGGACAACTCTCAGCTTGTGATAATTGTATCCGGGTCCATTCGGGTCTCAACTTGGTGCTGGAAAAATTAGCTTGAATATGGGGTTGTCCAATTACATATTGCGATAGTCGGCAAATTCTCAAATATGTATTGTTAAGTAAAATTCAACCTTCAATAATCAAACCGACAAAGTTGGAAATCAATAATAATAACGGAATTCATACTGTGAATATATAGTAAACATTCTCTTTCTCGTTGTCACAAAGATGGGCCAGGGCTCATATCAATAACCTAATAACATACAAAGCAACTCCACAAGAAGGAACTAAGTACCACACTCAAAACGACAAAGGAAATTGCCGAATGAATCAAGGAGAGACAGCCGCGCACAAAGGCAGCAAAGGCGACAGTGAAGCAAGGAAAGACTGAAGCAATAGAAGGCCGAACCAGGTGAACCGATCATCGGCCAAGGCATCGACAATGTGAGGCATCGAGGTCTCATAGAGAGACCGCATGGAGGGGCAGCATATTCACAGAGAAAAGGAGTAGCCGAAGAGTTCTGACTTAAAATGGGGCTCAAACTGTATTAACCGTGTGTATGTATGAATAATAGGGAAAATCACAAATATATACAATAGACTTTAGTCAAGTATTAGGTCGGGGCTCTAAATGCAATACTCGGTGCAACTTCTTTTGTGGGTTACCAATTGTGGGTTATTAAGTCGACTATTTAAATAGTCTCATTAATAGGTTCCATACGAATCATATGATTTTAATGTGGTCCGACGAGTCATCATCGTCCCGGGTCTATTTAGTATCAAAATACCTAACAAACCTCCACCTTAATGCCAAATACACCTACAAAAGAGGAAAAAACTAGTTAGTAGTCGTACAACGTGATTTCAAGTAAAATTGAAACATCACACACATTTAAGTGCATGGCCATTTCTAAACTTTACTGGGAGGAGCACCTTAGTGTCTATATCTGCAGGGTTATAATTTGAATGCACTTTCTCAAGTTTTATCAAATCTTGAGACACTACATCTCTAATAAAATTCAGCCTATCATCAAAATGTTTAGTGCATTCGTGAAACACGTGATTCTTACACAGATGAATAGCAAAATGACTATCAGAGTATACTATCACATTGTCACTTTAAACACATAGTTCATTAAGTAAATATCTAAACCACAAAACTTTTTTAATAGTTTCTGTGGCGACAATATACTCAAATTCAGTGGTTAATAAAGCAATTATATGTTGAAACTCACACAAGAGTCACATAAAGTACACACATAAGAGGAAAATTTTTCTTATTATCTCTATCACCATTGTAGTTAGCACCTGTGAAACCCTTAAGTTTCACACCCTCAATAGCATATTTATAAGCTAATCCTACATCAAAAGTAACCTTCTTCAAGTACTTAAACAACCACCTTAACGCTTCCCAATGTTTGGGATCAAGATTAGACATGTATCTTCTTAAAACACTCACAGTGAAAGTCAAATCAGGTATAGTACAAACCATAAGGTACATACGGAGCCAATTACATTTAAAAAAATAATATTATTCATAAATTTTTTTTTTTTTTTTTTTTTTTGCATCATTCACAGGTGATTGTTCTTTTAACAAAATAAAATGGTTTCCAAGAGGCACAGAATAACGCTTGCATCAAGCATACCGAGTTTCTTTAAAACTTTAAGCATGTAAGAAGTTTGATGCACATACAAGTAAGAATTAGACATATCCCTATTAATCTCCATACCAATGATCCTCCTAACATGTCCTAGGTCGTTTATGTTAAATTATTTCCCTAACTCCATTTTAATCTTATTTACCACCTTCATGTTAGGTCCAGTTAACAACATGTCGTCCACATAAAATAACAAATACACACACTCTTTATTAGTGATGTGGTGCAAGTAATAAAAGTAATAATCAAATTCACTCATCTTGAAACTAATAGACAACACATAAGAATCAAACTTTTTATACCATTGACGTGGAGATTGTTTTAACCAATAAAGATATTTATTTAAACAACTTTTCGCAAAACAGTATCAAATAAGTACAAGATAATAGATGTATAAGCAAGTTCGTCAAACTCATTTTTCTGATCCTTAGTCACAATTGCAACAAAAGAATTATCGATGGCTTTTAAAACAATTTGTTAAATTAAAATCTATTTCATCTTTTATTACTATATAGAAAAATCACGTTTACCGTTAAATACACCCAAGTCAAAATGGCGCTCAAACATCTTAATAAGGCTCTGTCTGGGCGCCATTTTTGGAGGTCAAAAATTCATTTTTGGAACGTTATGGCCTGACATTTTTGACTTAATCATTCACCTGTGGGACCCGTTGACCAATTGCAACGGATAGAATTTCGCTGTTAATTGAAAAAGTAGCTGCACCAGACAGGTGCTAAATAAGATACGTAGCACGAAAGCAACCTTCAAAGAGACAACAACACAGAGAATGTCCTATAGGTCACGGTTATACACTTGTCTAAATTCTCAGGATTGTCGATAGATTCGAGCCTCAATCTCAAGGGAATTTTCGAGTGGATAAGGTCAAATATAACAATTCTAATCACAAAACTCAACAACGATCAATATAACTAAAAAAACAATAATATCACAATTTAGGCAAATAGTCATAAAATACTAGCAACAAGCATCATCCTGCACGATGACATGCTATTGCAGTAATTTAAGTGTTTCAGTCAATTTACAAGAGCGGATCTATATGTGGTCCATAACAATGAGGAAAGCGAATTTAATTAAGGATTCAAGTTCTTATTGCAAAACAAACAGACCAACGCTTCAATTGCGCATGATATACACATACAAAACACAGCAATTTCAAATTTCAGCCACCAAGGATCGAAAATCAGCAAGCAATCGAGCCACATGAGGCTCTGATACCAGTTTGTGAAATAAAATACAACGTTCAATAATCAAACCAAGATAAAATAATTTCTAAATCAATAATAATGACGGAATTAATAATGTCAAATATAAAGTAAACGCTTCCCTCTCTTTTTGTTACAAAGATTGGCACCAAAAATGAATTGAACAGAGCTCAGATCAATAACACACAAAGCAGCTCCACAAGAAGGAATCAAGAACCACACTCAAAACCACAAAGGAAATCACCAAAGGAATCACTCAGAGACAGCTGTGCACGGAGGCAATAAAAGCGATGTGAAGTAGGGAAAGACCGAAGCAGCAAAATGCCGAACCAGGTTTCCAGGTCGCTGGCCAAGATGCCGGCAAGTTGAGGCACGAAGGTCTCACAGAGAGACCGCACAGAGTGGCAGCAGATTCACAGAGAAAATGAGCAGCCGAAGAGTTCTCAACAAAAAATGGGCTCAAAGTGTATTAACCGTGTGTATGTATGAATAATAGAGAAAAACCACATATATACACAATACACTTTAGGTCAAGTATAGCGTCAGCCCTAAATTTAATACTTGGTCCAACTTCTTCTGTGGGATACTAGTTGTGTGTTATTGAGTCGACTATTTACATAATCTCATTAATAGGTTTCAAACGAATCATATGATTTTAATTCGATCCTATAAGTAATCATCATCCAGAATTTATTTGGTATCGAAATACCTTTAATGTATGAACACCATTTGTAAATGGAAGATTTCTATTGTTAAGGTCAAATAAATTGTACTTTATTATGGAGTGGTGATGGTGGTGTGTAGTGTTATTGATTATGGAGGGTTGAATAAGGGTTTAATTTGAAGAAGAGAGAGATTTTTTTTAATAAAAAAAAAAAGGGTTGACCAGGGGTGGATTTGAAGAAGAGAGATAATTTTTTTTAAAAAAAAATCTCATTTTTTTAAAAATATTTTAAGTGGAAGACGTTCTCAATAATTGAAAATTTTAGGACTATGACTATAATTATATCTTTATATCTTTATTCTTTTATTTTTTGTTTCAGGTGGGTAAATTTGTCATTTTATGAGGTTTTGATAGAATAATTGGATGGTATGATTGTTTTGCACAATAACGTTTGCTTGATCTGAATGTACATTAATTATTGAGCCAAAATGAAAGGATGAGATTGTTTTGCACAAAATACATAAATGATAATGTTGTATTGCACCAATTATCCTTTTCACAAACACCAACCGCCCAACTTTCATCCATCGTGCTGGTCACGCCACCACTACTGACCATCCACGCCCCGGCGCCACCCACTCCATAATCGCTCATTGCGTTCCCCTCTTTCCACCTTGCTTCTTCTCTGGGCTACTT